CAGAGGGTGCTGAGGCATGGTTCGCACATTTGAGTTATTTGACTGCAGGCAAAATTGAATGGACATTTGGTTGGCTCCCGGTCACTAAATCATTTATATGTCGGCCGAAGTATGTTTTCTTCTATTAATGGGTCTTCGGAGTATTCAGCCATATGCTCTACACAGGGTTCTACGCCAGCTAGGCCGGTATTAAACTATCCCCCATGATGAAGATTTGAGCTAACAAGTCATCGAACTAGGCCCAAAAGCGGCATTCCCGGAAGATAGGGTTCGCCAGATTTGGCATCAGTGTCGGTTCCTGGAGCCACAGACTCAGGTGCATGATTTGTCCAAAAGTGAATTAGAGCCTAGATACACGGCTTGGTACGGTAAAAGGTTTCCACTCCATCAAGAGCCTGAACGGCCCGCCAAGAGGCCCCATGTCCAGCAGTTCACTGATGGAGCGCAAGAGCAATGGGATTGGTTGGCAAAAGAGGTAAGTTACAGGGCCAAGATAAGCAAATTAGAGGGATAAATCAGGGATCTCAAATTTGATAGTAGTGTACAAACTGCTGCCGATGAAGGGAAAAAAAGAAGTTGGCCCAAGAAAATAGCACCCTTCGAGTCCAGATCCAAAAAATGAAGATAGCTACTGAAAATCAGGAAAGGAGCCGAATGGACGAAAAACTCATAAATGGTCTTAGGAGGAAAATATCTGAGTGCAAAAATGATTTGGAAAAATCTCAGGGTAGTCTGGAAAGAGCCCGGGCACAGTTGGCGAAGAACGTAGAGGGACGGGCAGAGTTTGTCCAGCAATTAAAAAGGAAATATGATGGAGAAGTCATGAACTTGAAGAAAAAGCTAACCACCCTCGAGAATGAGATGGCCAAACAAACAAAGAGATTAAAACTCGAGAGGGAACATTGTTATGCCTTAATGTCGCTGCTAGAGGAAGATATGCAACAACTGCAGGGCCAAAACCATCACGACACCCAAGTGATAGAAGCTAGGTCTCAACAAATTGGACGTTTTCTCCAAGAGAAAAGTATCATCAGGGAAAGGGTTAGAACAATTGCTGACTACATCGTCATAAAATGCCATGAATGTGAAGACATGACTAGAACTACCTTCTTTGCCGCAGTGATGACCTTTGTTCGACAAATAATGAGTGACCTGGATCGTCTCCAAGGGATCTTGCGCATAGGCCCGTGGTGAGACCGACTGATGTCCCACGGGCCCACGGAGTAGAAGAACTTATGTATTCTTGATTTTCGTATCGAGTCTGTATTTCAATTTCCAGTTTTAGAGTCTGTTTCGAGTCTGTTTTTTCAATTCCTAGAAAAGTATGATGGATTCATTTATAATAGAAAAAATTAGAATTTTTCATTTTTAATGACATTTGAAGAAAAACCAAAATTGTGTTTATTTATTCAATGCATTTATTCCTTGAACTACGTGATGATCTGATTCACGCGACCTCGTGATACGTAGGCAATCCCCATCGGATCCGGTCATAGTTTTGAATAGCTCTAATAAAAGAAAAATGACGGAAAGAGAAAACCCAAAGGAAAAAGAAAAAGAAGAAAAGAGAGAAAACAAGAAAAGAGAACGAAAACAAGAGAGAAAAGAGTGAGAGAATGCAAAAGAGAGTAAGAGAAAGATCAGGGAGATAAATAAAAGCCGGGATGAGACATGCAATCGTTGCAAAACATGTAGAAACACGTTTAACTATATAGGTGCATCACACCCCAATATGTGATTCCCTATGGGTTAATTGCTTCAAACTAACCGGTTTGTTGTGTATACTATTGAGTATAGGTTCTGTTCTAAGGTGGTTGGTTTTGTGGTAACCTGGCTTTGTACCCTTACTTTACAAGATCCAAGGGCAGTGTAGAAATGTCATCAAGAGGTCATCCACCAACAATTCTCATCCCAGAGGATAGCCCGTTATCGGTTATCCCAACCTTAGAGTCAGCGGTTGCTGAAGAGAATAGGGCACTGCACCTCCGCGTGTTGGAAATGTGGGACGCTTGGTCCAATGGTAGAGAGCCGCCAAATGCCATACCTGGTTTCCTCGAGCTACTTCCTAGAGCAAGTGGAAATTGCAACGTCCCGATAAGTTACCCAAATACCCCACTTGGATACCCCACCATCTCAGCTTACTTCGCCGGAACACCTTCTGAGGTCCGCCCCCAGGTGATTTCGGGAGTGTCCTCTAACATATTCACCGCACCACTAATTTCGGCTACGGCACAACCAAATTTTCCCAGGCCAAGCTTTGATCCATCATCCTTCACTTTCCAAGTACCATTTTTTCCACCAGACCCTACCCATTTCAGCACCAATGCTTACCCTCAACAACCCCAGTACTAGTTTACCGCGGAACAAGAAAGACTACAAGGAACCCCAAGCAAGAGGAAATCACTCGGAAAATGAGGAGCATGGGTCAGAGCCTCAAGAATATACAAGGCTTGAACGACCAAAAGAGCGTATCCTACACTGATCTATGTATGTTCCCGCATGTGCATTTGCCCCTCGGTTTCAAGACCCCCAAGTTCGAAAAGTATGACGGGCACGAGTACCTCATATCCCACCTCAAGAGGTATTGCAATCAATTAAGAGGGGCAAGCGGAAAAGAAGAGCTCCTAATGGCTTATTTCGGAGAGAGTCTAGTTGGCATTGCATTTGAGTGGTACATGGATCAAGATATGTCTCACTGGCACATATGGGATGATTTGGCTCGAGATTTCGTCAGACAATTCCAATACAACATAGACATAACTCCAGATAGAAATTCCCTGTCTAATCTCAAAAAGAAGTCTTCGGAGAGTTTCCGAGAATATGCTGTTAAGTGGCGCGAACAAGCGGCCAGAGTCAAGCAAAAGATGGATGAGACCGAAAGGGTTAGTGTTTTTCTGCAAGCCCAAGAGGCTGACTACTTTCAGAATATGATGTCTGTAATGGGAAAGCTGTTTGCTGAGGCTATCAAGATTGGTGAGATGGTCGAAAATGTTCTGAAAACAGGTCGCATATTGAGCCAATCTTCCATAAGAGCTACAACCCAAGCAATCCAAAGCTGGTCAAGAGGTGTAGCAAACAGAAAGAAGAAAGAAGAGGTGGCGATGGAGGCTTCAAGTCTGGGAAACCTCCATCCACCCAGAGGTTACTTCCCTCAAGTACCTCACAACATTATTATCATCATCAGGATGTGGCTTACCCAGCCATACGTTCGGCTACAACAACAGTTTAACCAAAATCGAGCTCCACTTACTAGAAATAACCCTCCTCACCAAGCTCCATATAATCCCCATCCCCCTCAAAATAATTTTTCATACAATGACCGTGCTCGGGAACCACCCAGAAGAACAAACTTCACGCCTAATGGTGAATCATACTCTAGTTTTTTCCCTAAACTGGTCCAAATTGGTTTGTTGCTACCCGTACCCCAAACCAAGAAAAACCCAGAGTTGCCCTCCTACCGACCCGGTACTCGATGTGCCTACCATTCAGGAACGGAAGGGCATGACACTGAAGATTTTTGGACTCTCAAAAGGGCAATCGAAAACTTGATAGAGCAAAAGAGGGTAGTGCTTGTCACACCTCCTTTTTTTTACACCCCGTAAGGGTATAAGGGAGTTTTTTCAATTTAAGTGGCAATCGAAATGGGATTTATTACTAAAAGATTCAGATTCGTCACTTGAGAGATTTATGGTGTCCCAAGTCACCGATTAAATCCCGAATCGAGGAAAAACTTGACTCTGTATTACAGTCCGCGAACCAGAAATCCGAGTAAGGAATTCTGTTAACCTAGGAGAAGGTGTTAGGCATTCCCGAGTTCCGTGGTTCTAGCACGGTCGCTCAACTGTTATAATTGGTCTATCATATGATTTTAGTACATGTTTTAACCTATGGTGCAATTTTAAACCTTTAACCGCTTTTATTCATTTTTAAAGAAAATTGCAACGTCATTTAAAATATGTTTTGAACCATATCACATAAATGCACCCGCGGTCCACGACACATTTTACCTAACGTTATTGAGATTTGGATTTGGGTCACATAAATGCGCACCCGAGTTTAAGAAAGTAGATTATTAAAAGTACGCGCCTAAAGCAATTACGCGTTTGCACTTTGTGAGGGCCATGGAGATTTACTAAATGGCACGTCTCGGATTCTAAGGTTGAGTTAAAAATTAATCCACACGAGGACCATGCCATTGTGATCTTGTTCGACGTGGTGTGCCTCAATTCTATATTTTATAGGCATTCGAATCTAAGCTTGAAGGGCCATAGGCTATTTGATTATCTTCTATGGCTCACTTCCGTCTAGATAAAAGGTAAATTGTTTAAAGGCGGCTATGAGTGTAATTAATCTAAATGTTATAGTGAATAAGCATCCCTGTATAATTACTCCCAACAACTGGGCCTGAAAGAAAGGCCCAATGTCCCAAAATCTCGAAGCCATTACTGCCAACTGCATTCTGACACGCGAATTGGGCCATAAGAAACTAGTGAAAGGCCAGCCTGGTGATTGAAAATTACGGTTAATATCATACAAGCCACATATTTATCAGTCATTAGCCATAGACCAAAACAACAACACATACCCATTTGAGTTCAATTCCAGGATAAGTGTGCATATTCGGGTTTCCAGATTTATAAGGTTTTAAAGCAGTTGGAATAACAGATAATCAATTTAATCAAATACTCTTGAATTATCAACTTATTGGTTTGATATACTTAATTTCAAATCTGTAACTAGCTTTACATAAAAGAACCATGAGACTTCAATGTTATTTAAACCCGCATGAAGCAGTAGGCGTAATCATATAAAGTGATATAATGAAAACACATTTAATCGATTTTTGGACTTGTGCTTCAATGAACCATACCATTTCTGCTCCTATAGCAAAAACTTTACATCCATTGACAAAACAAACCTAATTTTCATGCAAATGTATGAGACATTATCTTTTAATTGAATGAATCCTAACGCTTTGAATGAAGATGACAAACTAGAGATAAAAACAAACTTAATCATATAACTGAACATATGCATAACCAAAATGTCTTAAACAAACAGTCCATATATACAGTCCCTCACATGTTCAAACCAACGAACAGTCCACAAATCTCTGACTAAACAAAAGGGCAGCATGAATCCCCAAAATACTACTACTATACTAAGATGAACAAACTAGGCTGAATATCATTACTCTACTCTATATGATTCGAGGAAATCTTAAACAAATAATTGACATTAAAGATTTAAAGAGAAACAGTCATTTATTCATGAAAAACTTCTGGCAATTACAACTTTCATTTTTGCATTTCATCTCTTAGAGAATCAGGAATACCTGGAAAAAGAAGTAACAAAGAGGAAATAAGGATCAGTAAGCTCAGAAACAGCGGTAGAACAACCCAGATTCAGCCAACTTTCAGTGAAATCAACTCAAAATCAATGAAACAGTAGCTAGAACACAGAATCTACCCAGACACTGTAGCCGTCTCTATTTTTCTCTATTTTTCAGTTCTTCATCCACTGCCTTCTAAGGCAAGTAAGAATGCTTTTATAGGCAAGTAAGTAGGGCACCTCTCAAATTTTAATTTACACTCTTAGATCCCTTTTAATTTATGCATTTTACTTAAAAGTCTCTAGAATCTTGACTTGTTCACCAGGTTCATACTACCCAGATCCTGAAATTCAAATTAAAACCCCACCCTAGAAGCTTCTATTTCTGTTATAGCAAAATTCCCTAACCCCAAATACCTAAACTACCCTCCTAGTACCCTGTAATTACTGTATGAAACCAGGCGGGCCAAGTTGACCCAGAGTTTAGCCCCAAGCCGGACTGATCTTCTTTCACTTTAGGCTTTCAATTTACCCAAAACCCAAACCCATTCAGTAACTCCTGATTGACTATGAACCAAGCAGTTTTGAATTGAAAGCAGAAATAATTGAAAGAAAACAAGAACTACTAACACTGAGCACGAGGATTAAATAAATGTAGCTAGCATGCTCTTACTTTAATCACCACCAGAAATTGTTTCAATAAACAAGTACTGACCAAGAAAAGAAAAAAACGCATGGAGGGATATGACGACGGAGTGAAGAATCAAAAGAACGGGGAAAAGGAGAAAATGATGGTACCTATTCAACAGCTGAACATGGACCAAACTTGAAGGAACTCGAACTCATCGACTTTGAGCTGAAATTAGTCTCAATCATGCGTTCTTGTCAAGAACGGACGAACGAGACCAGTTTCGATTTTAATCTTCAGCCCCAAACTAGAAAAATCTTTTCGTCTTCTTCCCTTTTCAAGTCCAGACTTGGCTCCGCTTAGTGACGATTTGGGGGTTATGGTGAGAGACTAAAAGTCAGGGATGAAGGAAGGTTGTGGAGACGGATTTTTTGGGAGGAAAAAATGGAGTTCCTTTGCTCTGTAACAATGGTGGAACTTGGACTGCTAGGGTTTGAAGAACGAGAGAGATGAGAGAGATGAAAGGGTTGAGAGAGATGAGGGCGTGTTTGGAACTGAATTTGTCGTTGTGATTCAGACACTAATATGTAAAGAGGGGAGAGGTTTTGGGCCGTTGGATTGAAATGAATCAAGGGCTCAGATCAAATGGGGAGGGAAACGACGTCGTTTAGTCGTCTGAAGAGAAAGGACTTGGGCTGGGTCCGAAATTGTTTGGGCTAGGATTTTTAGGACGAGAACTAGCACAATTTTGGGTCATTTTAATTAAAGCAAACCCGATTTCCTCTTCTCTATTTTTCTTTTTCTATTCATTTCAATTCCTTCTTTTTCTTTCTTTTTTTTCTTTTCAAATTTAAACTAAAAAACCTAAGTTAATTCTAAAAACCAAAATTATCCTACCAAATCATGTTAAACTCCAATTAACAATCAATGTTATTAATAAAATACAAATTTAAAGAAAATTCGCAAAATTCGAAGCTAAAATTAAACAAAGCAAAAATAACTCAATTTTTGTGATTTTTTGTAAATTCCTAATTACTAATTAATTCTAAAAATATGTAAAATTAAATCCTAAATGTAATGCATATTTTTGTATTTTTTTATGAATTAAAATGCACAGACAAAATGCAAACAATTAACATAAAATGCCACAAAAATTCACAAAATTATAAATACTGAAAGAAATTATTTTGTTTTGAATTTATGAGAGTAATTCATATAGGGGAAAAATCACGTGCTCATAGTGCTGAAAGATGAAGAGATCCCCAATATAACCAATAACCCATTACCGGCTCACAACAACGGGCCAGTTATCAGGATGATTTGTGAAGATAAGGAGTTTGACCCAGCTCTGAAAGCCATCATTGCCATCGTCGATGTTGAAAAGAAGCCAAAGGCGGCAGCAAAGCAAGACAAGGAGGAGAAAAAACGTAACTCTGCCCCTCAAGGTGTAGAAAAGGCGGTGGAAACCAAAATAGGGGCAGTACCCCCTAAGGATACCATTCTTTATGTTCCCTGGGCTTCCAGGAAAGAACAATTGGTGTTGAGTCCCCCCAAGAGGTTTGAGCTAAACAAAAGACCTAAGATGTACGTACCAAGAGGGACTTATGTGGCGCGGGGGCTGATAATTTCACCAAGGCTGAATTAGCCCGTGGTTATCAGCTGCGCACCACAGAAGCCCATGAAGGACCCCACTGCAGTGCCCTGGAATTACAACAGAGCAATTGTGACGTACAAGGGTAAAGAAATCATAGGGTAAGTAAATAAAACCAACCCATCCGGGAAGTACCTCAATCTGGAAGAAGTGAACAATGCCAAGCAGAAGCGCTTCCCGCTTAAAAAGCCAGTTAGTGCCGAAGAAGTCGAGGAATTCTTCCGAAAAATGAAAACTACAGACGATGAGGAAATTGACCAACTCCGTAAGTCTCCCGCTCAGGTCTCACTCTTATCTCTACTGATAAGCTCGAATGAGCATCAGAAAGTATTGATAAAGACCCTCAATGAAGCCTATGTTTCGATTGAAATCACTATGGAGCAACTGGAAAGGATGGCAAGAAAGATTCTTCGCAGTCAACCAGATTTCATTTAGCAAGAATGACTTGCCCATGGAAGGGGTTGCCCACAACAAAGCTCTTAATCTGACAGTTAAGTGTGAAGGGTACTATGTAAAAAGATTCATGGTGGATGGTGGATCAGGGGTCGACATATGCCCTCTCTCAACTTTGCAAAGAATGGAAATTGAGATTGAGAGGATCAGACCTAATAATGTTTGTGTGCGTGCTTTTGATGGCATCAAGAGAGGCACAATAGGGGAAATTTATTTGATCTTGACTATCGGTCCTGTGGATTTCGAAGTGACGTTTCAGGTCTTGGACATAGATACCTCCTATAATTTTCTCTTAGGAGGGCATTGGATCCATGCTACGGGGGTCATACCTTCTACCCTCCATCAAATGGTGAAGTTTGAATATGAATATCAGGAAATTATAGTTTATGGATAAGATATGCAATCAATTTATCGGGACCCGTCAGTCACATGTCTCGAAGCTAGGGAAGGTAGAGAGCATATAGTCTATCAGGCTTTTGAGGTTGTGATCGAAGATCAATGTGAGGAGGGAAGCTCATATCCTTAGCCCTTTCTGTCAAATGCGTACATCAAGGTCGCTACTGAAATGATCAAGCATGGTTATAAGCTTGGGAAGGGACTCGGGGCATCATTGCAAGGTATCACAGAACCTATCATTTTAGCTGCCAGCGAGAAGTTCTTCGGTGTGGGTTTTCATGCCACAGAATCTGACGTGACATGGGCAAATGTACAAATGAGCAATGGTTAGGGTCTACCTCATCCAGTCCCGCATCTTTATAAAACATTCATCAAGCCCAAGTACACCAAAGAAGAAGAAGAAGATGATGAGGCCCTCACGGCTGAGGAAATTGAGGACATATGTGGAACCGTGAGGCAAATGTTATATGAAGCTCACATGGTCCAATCTGGTGAAGGCTCGAGCACTACTGAGGTACAATTTATGGGGCCCGATGCCAAGCTACAAAATCGGAAGGTTACTCCATTCCCAGTCAGGCGAGAATCCCGGTAGTCCAGTCTTGCCACCTTTTCTGCATTCCAAGTTATTCCAGGGTGTAACTCGAATGTTTCTTTTAGTTTATTGTCTTTAAAATTCCAATGTAAACCCTGCTATCTTCAAATTCAATGAAATGAAATCAATATTTCATCATCTATGAATCTCTTTCTTTATTCTTTCTAATTTTTGTTACTTTTCTTATTTGTTCCTTTCAGTTCTAATAATGCAGACTTAAATAACATGACATGCTTGCGGACTTCACGCCCAGATCATAGCACGTTGTCTAATTGTGAAATAATGAATCAAGAACCGGAATATGATGAAGATGAGGCTTTAGGGAAATAAACCGAGAATTGGAATAATTTGAGAATAAACCTAAGACAAACTTAAATGAAACCGAGCCGGTTAATTTGGGTAGTTCAGAAGAGGTCCAAGAAATCATGATAAGCATTCACACGGATGAAAGAACTATGGATGTATTGATCCAACTTTTGTTCGAATTCAAAGATGTGTTTGCTTGGTCCTACAATGACATGCCAGGATTAAGTGTCGATTTGGTGGTCCACAAGTTGCCGACTTACCCCGATTATCCCCCTGTCCTGCAAAAACAGAGGAAGTTCAAAACTGATATCAGTAACAAGATCAAAGAAGAGGTCACCAAACAGTTGAAGGCAGGGGTGATCCGAGTGGTCCGATACACCACATGGCTGGCTAATGTAGTTCCCGTACCAAAGATGGGAAAACTCGAGTGTGTGTTGACTATCGGGATGTGAACAAAGCAAGTCCCAAAGACAACTTCCCTTTGCCAAACATCCACATCCTTGTTGACAATTGTGCCAAACATGAGATACAATCTTTCATGGATTGCTATGCCGAGTATCATCAGGTCTTTATGGATGAAGAAGATGCGAAAAGACAGCCTTCACCACACCCTGGGGCACCTATTGTTATAGGGTTATGCCTTTTGGTTTAAAGAATGCTAGGGCAACTTATATAAGGGCTATGACTGCCATCTTTCATGACATGATGCACCAAGAAATCGAGGTGTATGTGGACGATGTGATCATCAAATCCAGAACACAAGACGACCATGTTCGGGATCTGAGAAAGTTCTTTGAGTGGCTACGTAAGTATGACTTGAAGCTAAATCCAGCTAAATGTGCATTTGGGGTTCCGTCTGACAAACTCTTGGGATTTATAGTCAGTCGGAGAGGTATCAAGCTAGATCTAACGAAGATAAAGTCTATTCAGGATTTTCCTCCTCCGAGAACCAAGAAAGAGGTTATGAGCCTGTTAGGAAGGTTGAATTACATCAGCCGGTTCATTGCTCAGTTAACATCCACATATGAGCCCATATTTAAGCTATTAAGGATGCGGCGATTAAATGGACAGATGAGTGTCAAGAAGACTTCGACAAAATCAAAGAATATCTGTCGAATCCGCCGGTCTTGGTCCCACCCGAACCTGGAAGGCCTTTGTTTTTGTATTTGACAGTCTTGGAAAACTCTTTCGGATGTGTCCTCGAGCAACATGATGTGACCAGGAAAAAAGAGCAGGCAATATACTATTTGAGTAAGAAATTCACTAGCTTTGAAGCCAAACACACTTTGTTGGAAAGGACTTGCTGTGCCTTAACTTGGGTCGCTCAGAAGCTTAGGCATTGCCTGTTGGCCTACACCACCTATCTCATCACCAGGTTGGATCCTTTGAAGTACATATTCCAAAAGCCGATGCTCACAGAGAGGTTAGCAAAATAGCAAATCCTGCTCACTGAGTTTGACATAGTCTATGTCACCCGCACGACAATGAAAGCCCAAGCTTTAGCGGATCACCTAGCTGAAAATCCTATTGATGATGAATATCCGAGGAAGTAAATTCAGTTGAGGTAACCACAAAAGACACCAATGCTTGAAAAATGTTCTTCGATGGAGCTGTGAATGCAAAAAGGAGTCGGGATTGGGGAAATCTTGATCTCACCCATTGGTCAACACTATCCGGCCACAGCTCGGCTTCAGGTTTTCTGCACAAACAACACTGCCAAGTACGAAGCCTACATTATGGGTATGAACATGGCAATCGACCAAGATATGGAAGAATTGTTGATCATGAGAGATTCAGATTTGATTATCCGACAAGCTCAGGGTGAATGGGAAACTCGGGATGTCAAGCCTATTCCATACAGGCAACATGTGGAAGATCTTAGCAAGTGTTTCAAGTCAATCGAGTTCAGGTACATTCCTCGGTTTCACAATGAGTTAGCTGATGCATTCGCTACTTTGGCCTCGATGTTGCCATATCCTGGCAATGTCTACATTGACCTTTTGGAAATCCAAATCCGAGAAAGGCATGGTTATTGCAATACGGTTGAGGCGGAACCAACAACCATGGTATCATGATATCAAGAGATTAAAGGAATATCCCGAGCAAGCCAATGGAGACCAAAAGAGAACCATTAGAAGGCTTG